TTGGGTGTAACGCCGGCCTCTTTCATCGCGGTCTTCGCAGCCCGCGCCGTCATGTCGAAGCCTACCAGATCCATCGCACTCTTGGAGTACAGCTGTGGCGAGTCCGTCATGAGTTGCTGGCCTGCCATTAGAATCGCCTTGCTCTTCAGATGGGGTCGTGCGTCGAGGAAGGACTGCGAGACGATTACGGCTGCGCCTGCGCCGTCGGAGGTGGGGCTGCATTGCAGTTTCGTGAGGGGTGGGTGGATCATGGTGCTGTTGAGGATTTCGTCGAGGGTGTACTTCTGTTGGAATTGGGCGTAGGGGTTGCGCTGGGAGTGTTCGTGGGAGATGCGGGCTATTTCGGCGAAGTCTTCTGCTTTGGCGCCGTATCTGGGGGTTTGTTAGTGGTGTGTGTGCGCTCAGCGTGGAGGACGCCTGTTCTCACTTGTCCATGTACTCTTGGCCGGCATTGCCGAAGTACTGTGCGTTCCTCGGGCTGTCGTGTTTGCCCTGGGTATCCTCCATCATTGCTGTGCTCAGACCCATGGGGCTGGGTCTGTCGCTCCAGACACTCTTGATGCTACCTGGGCTCATCTGTTCGAAGCCGATGACGAGCGCGCAGTCGATGGCACCGTTGCGGACGAGGGTCCTTGCCATGTGGAGACCGGTTGAGCCGGTAGCACAGGCATTGTTGGTGTTGTAGATGGGGATTGTGCTCATGCCGAACTGGTAGAAGACACGTTGGCCGGATGTTGTGTCGCCGTAGCAGTAGCAGGCTATGCCGGTCTCGACGTCGTCGTATGTGATGCCGGCGTCGAGCATGGCTTTTACGCCTGCTTCATAGCCGAGTTCGGGGTATTCTCTTGTTCGGCGGGGCTTGAGGAACTTGGTGAGGCCGACGCCTACTACGTAGGCGGGTGTTGTACCGCGGGGTGCCATGTTTGTTTTTAGCTAGATGGTGGTTGTTGTATGATAGAGTTCGAGGGTTGGCAAACGCCAGGTTATGGATATGAAGCTCACATCTTTTTCGGTTGTGCCAGCTGAGAAGCTGAGACGCAACCTCCACAGGTTGAGTAGCCGAGGCAGTGTGGCCCTCGGGCGGCGTTTGCCGGCAGGGGAAAATTAGGGATCCCGGGTGTGGATACCCGCATCTGCTTACCTAAACATTTTCTCGTAGCCGTGAAGCACGACACCACCTGCATGAAAGAGCAAGACGTTCCCTCGTGAGCTGTGTATATGTGGCCTACTACAGCCATCCTTTCATCAACGCCTGCAGGCACGGCTTGGTCCTTAATTCGATATGGTACTTACTGTCGAGGAAGAGCGACATGGCGGCCTCCCAGGACTGCTGGAGGACATTGAGACTCGCGCCCCTGGCATGACTCGCATATAACCATACACTCCGATCGAAACCTCCATGAGCTCGAAGACGAGTCTCGGAGTCAGCTCAGGTAGTTGTGGGAAAAGGTAAGAGTCGTAAAAGTCCTCTTCTGCCCCTTGCCAAGCCTAGGATCCGCAACGGATTGCTGGCGCCGATAAGCGCAATGGCGTACTCCCCGTACGTTTCTGCTAACATTATTTCGACAACCGTTTTATTATTCTTCAGCTGGTGGCTGTACGGTGCGTTCGCTACTCGGACAGCACATATCTCCCTCAAAGAGACGTGTCCAGTGATTGGACCTTTTTCATGTCCTGTCGAGCCCGAGTTCACCGCTGGTGACCTCGATATTCAGCATCAGGATCTGCCAAGAAGGCCGAATGAAATATTCGGGATCATGCAAGCCGAAGCAAGACTCAAGGAAGTCGCGACAGAGCTATTGCAATCTCAAAACCTACGCTTGGCTTCAATCCAGTCTATCCAGACATTATGGGCAGGCTACGGACATATATGCCACGTGAAGGCCATTGTGCAAGGCTCAGACGCACGCCAGTCTCTCATTCTGAAGTATGTGACACCCCCAACACATATGAAGCAGAGCCAGGCAGGACCGCTTGATGAGGGTCACATTCGCAAGATCCTCTCATACCAGGTCGAGCAGTACTTCTACACGCATCTCGCGCCACAAATGCCGAAAGATGTAGCGGTTGCCACTTGTCTTGCCAACATCAACAGGTCAACGGACGGAAGCAATACGATAGCCATGGTTATGACAGATCTGCGAGACTCATTCCCCGTAGCTGGCGAGAAGAGGGCCGAGCTGAATGCAACCCAGGTGCACGCCGCTCTGAAATGGCTGTCTAGTTTCCACGGCTTCTGGTGGTCAAGGGCCGATGATGTTGCGAGGGTAGCACATGTTCGTCCACCACTGGGGCATTTTGAAAAGCACAAAAACACGAATCTTGCCTCGCAATCTGGTGTCTGGTCGAACGGTGGCTACACATATCTCGCCACACGGCGGAAAGAGTATGATGATCTCAAATCCGATAGCGACTCGGAGTGGTCGTCAGCTCTTTGTGAACCAGTCAAGCCTGGTGAGAAGAGCATCGCTGAAAAGGCAGCTGCATTGTTGGCATCCTCCGCAGTGCGAGATTATCATACGCTCATCCACGGCGACGTAAAAAGCGAGAATCTGTTCACGACCATACGGGGTGACGCTGTGGCATTTTTCGACTTTCAGTATGTCGGGCTGGGCCTTGGTGGCTGTGATCTGGCTAAGCTGTTCACGTGCTCTGTACCGTTGACGATGCTCGTAGAGGATGAGATCGTGTCCACAAGTTCGAAGCTCGAGATGCAGCCAGGGGAGGAGAGACTGCTCCGCGCATATCACGAACAGCTTCAATCCAGGTCTGGCGAGGAATACGCCTGGGAACTATTCATTAGACACTGGGAGACCGCACTCGTGGATTGGTTGAGATTCCAGGCCAGTTGGGGATTCTGGGGAAACAGCGAGTGGCTCGAAGCAAGAGTGAGATGGATATTGGGAGATGAGGAGTGGCTGAAATGGCTCGATGATGCACTGCAGGAATGATAGCATTAATCAATCCTTTGGCACGCTTGCATCGACAGCGTTGAGCAATATGCAAGTATATGCATAGATTGCAACATAATGCACAATGGCGATCGTCCCATCTTGTCCCAATGCGTCTTTTGCCGTGTCGAAAACAACCTGGTCTACTGGCCCTTTCTTCTCGGCAAGTGCGATGGAGAGCTCGTATGCTGCCTCGCATTGCTCGTTGAGACCTTCTGGTTTCTCACCTGAAGCAAGAGCTGAGATCACCCTGTGGTCTAATGTTGTCTTGGAAGCCGCCAGCCGCTCGTGCGCATACAGCTCGTAGCCGGATTTGTGTATCCCGCCAACAGCCAAGATAGCGATTTCTCGCACGTCTGGTGTTAAGTCCGCGAGTCGAGCAATCGCGGTGACGAGGTCGGTGTATGGCTTTGCGAGAATCGGGTACTGGACTAAGATTGCGAGCGGACCAATCAATGCGCCGTTGTCGTTTTGGGTTCTGAAAGTGTCGTTCAAGTCTGGTCCGAAGTGGAGTTGCAAGGAGGATACCAGGAAGTCGTGAGCTGACTTCTGGGTTGGAGTGAGGTGCTCCGGAGATGTGGGTGGAACTCGATCTTGTGGCATATTAACTATGGATCGTGGACTGTAATGTTAGGACTAATGCTGGAGTTTCGCTTACAGTCTCACTATCATGAAGACAGATAGATAACACTTTGCAATGAGACTGCTGATCAATGCATTGTATAGAATGACGTGCAGCTGACATATAGCCCCAAGGAGAAATGTTCTTGGGCCCAGCGCTATCAACCGCGCACCTCGGCCGACCCCTTGCTGCGCTACACAGCCTGCAAGCCTGTAGACTAAGCCTTGATGGGAAGGACCTGCGCCCGCCGGGCTAAAAAACAGTTGCTCAAAGCACAAGAGCAGGTGAACCTGACGAGCACTTCGCTTTTGGGGTGGATGAACGCGTATCCCCACCGAAGCGTAGGTCAGCCGGAAGAAAAGAGACTACCATCCATCTAGACTGCGCTTGGCAGCAGTAAGCCAGAGCATAGGGCCGACGCCAATCGCAAAACAGATAGCCACAGTCATGCCTGATGCGTCGCCGTCATCCCAGGGGCGATTCATGTACTTCAGGTGCACGCCGTGCCGCTGTGAAGCATCATGTATCCAGCAATGATTCGTCGGAGCGAAAGCGCCTACGTGCACAAGCATAGTTGCGGAACGGCCCCAGGGTCGCCTAACAAATGGTTCTGGTCAATCAATCAGTCTTGAGAGGGGAGGTGCTGAAGAAGCAGGATGTTAGAACAAAATAGCCATATTAACGGTAACGGCTCTGTCGCACGTCTGGTCCGCGTCAGTGTAGAGTCTTCAAGGGTGTTGTATAGCATTTGGGATGCCAGGGGCACTTATCGATCATAGAGGAGAAAGTCCGTGCAGGGGTCGCGAAGAGATGTCAGGCGGTTCCCTAAATAATTGGCCCACTCCCAACCACAAATTCGAGTAGACCTCTTTAACACGGTGTCAACACCACAATAATGCTTTGATTGAAGTGACATTGTTACAGTGCATAGAACGAAGGCGTGAGATCATTTTGCATCAAGAATTATTGTGATAGACTACGTTGCGTATCTGTAAAACCGCTCATAGTCGGAAGACACGTGTTAGATGAAGTCCGGAGTGGGCCAATTATTTAGAGAACCGCCTGATGTGTAAGGCTCACTTGGCTAAGTTTCTGTCAACGAAGTCGAGGTGGCTGGCTAGGATAGGCATAAGTCTGGGCAGGTCTGGCGAGTGATGGCAAAGGGGGCTGGGCCGGACCACACTACTCCTCACCAGCCGCTAAGCTGTGACACCTATACACGATGCAAACAGTGACTATGCCCACCGGTTCCCGGTTCTCTACGTTAGCTCCTCGTCGTTCTTCGAGGCATTAAGAGTCACAAGGCGCAAAGAAAAAAGAAAAAAGAAATGCTGATGGACACCTTTTTCAGGTGTAGTCTCAGGAGTAGAAGGTATTATGCGACACCCTGTGATATGTTAATTATGGTCTGCGACGAGTTCAGGATAAGACTCACTGCAGGATTCGAACCTGCGCCTCCGAGGAGACTGCCTAGGCAGCTTTGGATGAATATCAACCGATAGCAGGGCAGCGCGTTAACCACTCCGCCAAAGTGTCAAAGCTAGTAGCTGGCTACCAGTTTGGTGGTTGTTGTTAGAGCAGAATTTGAAACATAGCGTATATGAAACGCATTGTAGCCTGGGCACAAAGCAAAGTTTGTGGTGGCAAGCGAAGCCTGAGTGAAGGATACAAAGTCTGGTTCGGCCAATGAGCTCGGCTATACCGAGTTCCGGCATCGAATATGGGCGAATCACGTTACGCACCTGGCGTACCCCGCATCCGAAGCCCATCCGGCTGCGTCTGCACGAATCAGACGCTCCGGTCTGCTTCATTGGTGTCAGATTAAACCTTGACCCGCTTTGCTTTGCCAAATTGAGCTACGAGCACATCCAATCATCGTCACACTGGCACACTACGAACAGAGCATCATCGTGCTCACATCAACTCAGGATAATCGGTGTTTAATTCATCACAAGTCAACATCTTCTAGCGGCAAGAACCCACGTCGTAGAGTACAATAGCTTGTAGTATGAACATGTACTGCCATGTCACGGACGAGACACAATAAGGACGAATAAAATTGGCATGAGCAGGCTTCAAGTGTGCGTGGAGGGCGCCAGACAATCTGTTCTATCAAGTGCGGGTCTATCTCAGCTTTCAGGTATCAGCTCTGGAGGATAACTCTCGACTTTGTATCAGCCAGAGCGCAATAGAGCGTATACTGAAGCCACACAAAGCAATTCAGCAATGTGCACATGAAGTTGTGTGTATGGCCTCGTCTAAGCTAATGCCTGTACCAGCAACACAGTGCATGGTTACCCATTTCTCTAAGAACTGTGCTTCGTAGTCAACCTCCATGCTATGTGGCGCACGTCATGTCTTCGAGTCCCGCTTCGTCAGCGGCTCATCACCTGCAACACTCTCTGAACTGACATGCACTGTCGTGTTCTTGGTAATGCCATACACCTTGTCTACAGGGCCTTCACTGTGAATGCCACCAGCGCCCGCCTCCAGATCGTCCATTTTTTCTCTCATCGTGCCGCGGCATTGACCTCCCTCGAGCGGCGTGCATGGGCGAAGTAGTTCCTCCAGACACCCATGCATGATACAATCGGTCTGTCGTCCAGACTCCGCTGTCGATGCGGTCTTCATCCAGAATCTTCGAGAAGGTAGGATCATATCGCTTCTTCTCCTGCTCTTGCGAATCTGTGCTCGGGGGAGTACCATTAGTCAGGATCGTGCTTCCGCTCAATGTCTTGTTCTTTGAGCCTCCAGCGCTGCCGTCACCTCCAACAGTACGGTTTCCATCCCCGTCGTAGCTGGAGCCCTCCCCAGACTGTTTGGCAATTTTAGCTATCATGTGCGCCATACTGAGTTCAATATTGAGCTTGACCATATAGCACAACGGATGAAACTGGACGTATATGAGCTGGTTCGACATGCTCATTTGCCGATCAGTAGCACATCCATGCTCAGACTGACAAACACAATCGACATATTGAACCTGTATAGCGGCATATACTTCGTCATGCCAGTATCAACGAGTTTTGTTTTGACCAGGTAGCAGAAGTAGAAGTTCAGCAGTGCGTCGAGGAGGAGGTATACGACCTTTTCGCAGCGGTCGAAGACGTTATTTACGTTGATGTAAGTCTGGGTGACTTGGAGGCGGGCAGGAATCCAGATACAGTAGACACCGATATTGAGGACCAGGATGATCGCACAAGAACCCCATTTGATGATTGTGATGCGGCGGCGTGAAGTTATGAGGAGGGCTATTCGATTGACAATGATCTGAATGAGCAAGTGTAATTCGATACACCACAAAGTTACGGCTACCATGAAGTAAGCGAAACTAAAAGGTGACCTGTCAGCATGCTGAGATCTCGTACAGAGACGCTCATTGGCTTTCTCACCTTGGTGGAATGATCCCATCCATGTACAGCCACGAGAGAACACCCAGAACACTGTTGACAATGATCTCAAGCCATACCATAAACGTGTAGCCACTGATTCGACCTGTCCTTCGCCAGATGCAGAGTGTCTGGCCTCCTGCTTTCGCGGCTGTAAGGAGCGTGAAGCCGAGCTGAAAACCCCACGCTATCGATGCGATTTTCATGTCTTCGGGAGACGATTCTGCGACGACGAATCCGTCAGACATGAATAGCGAATGCATGTTGACGACCACTCGGTAGACGACGGCGCTAGGGTCTTGCCGAAGATGAGGATGAGGATAGTCGTATAGGATACCGAATCGCAAATCTCAACCAGAACCTGGGATTCAAATTCAGATGCATCCGTTCGTCGAGGCTTATGAATGTGTTTCATCAAGCCAGGCTTGGACGTTCAGTCCTGAAAGGAGTTTCAAGCTTCTCAACAGGCATGACTCGTTACAAACGAGGTTCCATCGCTGTTGAGACATGTTGGGGACCTCCCAGGTAGGAAATGTTTCCGACCGCACAAGAAGATCTGCCTCTTTCACATGCACATATCCATGTTGAGTCTCAGCACGACAGCATGGGCTGGAACAGGGTATGCTCTCATGCAGTGTGCGAAGCCTACGTTTTCTTCCGGAGGTGCGATTACGAAGCTTGATGCATCGAGTCTTGTCGGCCCAGAGGATAGTATGAACCAGGATAATCAGTCGAGTCAGACCCATTGGGCGCAAGAAGATCATAGCCCATGCCGACACTCCAGAGCATATCGTCCTGACCCCACCCACCATATGAATACCCAGACATCGCGGTGAGAGGAACTTCGTAGCTTTCTGAGCTGAGCGTTGGATCATAGTTCTGTCCCATTGCATACTCTGGACTCGAGTGCATGCTCGGGGTGAGGACCGTCCCAGATTCAGTACGATGAAGGGCGTCTGGTCTTGGCAGTAGCGACCGTTGCGAGACACCATTGGTGGCACTTTTACCCCATTGTTTCAGGAGTCGTTCGAAGCCACTTGCCATGCTATATACCATGTGATTGGCACCAGCCCGACAGCCTCGGAGGGTCCTGATCATGCCTTCGATGAGAGGCTTGGTCTGTGTTTCAGGATCAATGTTGACCCCGATGGTATGCCATTTGTGTGCTATTTTCATCAAGAACACTGCCGCGAAAGCTAGCATTGAATGCAGATAGAGTGGTATACCGACCAAGCTTTCGCGGTAGGATAGCTCTTCCATGGTATATTGTAAGATGAAATGCGCCGCGTCGATTGCTCTCGATGCCAAAGGTCTGAGACTGGTCGGCAGATCCTCCAGTCTCTCAAGTGGTCGACCGCGGAGTGCTAGCGAATTGAGTACGAGCTCGGTGAAGCCATGGTGCAGAATCACGCCTTTAGATGGGTAGTCACCAACGTATTTGTCCCGGGACAATGCGTCACGCCAGTGATCCCTCCAGCTTCGGGTCTCCTCGGTGAATCTCATGTGAGTTAGTAAAGTCGCATCATCGCTTCCCATGATTCTGTCTGGTTCTAATCCGAAGACTTCGTAAGCTTTGCTCAAAATCACAAACAAGCTGACTTGCGATATCAATCGACGGTCTGAGGTCGTGGTCGTAGGGCTGTTCACGAAGACATTGTATTCTCTGATTGGCAATAGCTCGGCTGTGACTGGCGGTCGACCGTATGCGATGCTGAAATGGTGGTCGAGAACGTAAAGTAGGTACCAGACTCGCGCTTTCTCCATGTAGCCAGCTCGCTCCCCCTCGGTCAGTCCAGGCGTGTAGAATGCCTTGTAGAAGGCATGGTGCAGGTTCAGCTCTGTAGCCATGCGTATACATAACCCTGATAACTTCCAGCTCAGATCCGGCTGCCAGAAAGCGGCTATGCAAAGACCACGGATGTCGTCCAAAGTATGGAAGCGGTCAAACATAGCGGTCGACACTAACTCAAGGAACTGCTTGTGACATATTGCGTGGATCGCTTCCTTGCCAGGTACATGCAAAGCGCTGACGAGCATAATCGCCGTGAAAAGAATAGAAGATGACTCGCGGATGCTTGTTAGCGGGACATCCTCCGGTATGGCCGTGTTGAAGAGATACCGTGATAGCGAGCGCTTGAACCTTGGCACAAAGTCAGCAGGCATATGAAGCAAAAACATATATTACTCACAGGTCGAGCAGCTCTTCTGCATCTGCGATCGACAGCAAATTTTGCGAAATCATGTCAGCCTCCATCCGTCGCTTGGCATTCCGCTTCCTAGGGTTGCCACGTCGCAATCGACTTCTAAGGCTGTTCAATTGTGTTGCCTCATAGAGACTACCCATTGGAGCTGGTGCGATGTTTTTCTCGTCCTCAGCTGGCTCTCTGGAGTTCTCCCGGGTAGTTTGAAAGCCGGATGCAGGCTGGAGCTTTTGAGGTTGTGGGGGCTCGCCCTCCGACGCGTTAGCAAATGTGTCCAGAGCTGGCATTTGCAACTTCGATAGGACATCTTCAAGTGCTCTTTCGATTTTCTGTATGACAGGATGCGTGCCACTGGAGGTAAGTCAGTCAATTCACCTGCTCTGTATACGTGCAGTGGTTGATACACACCCTTCTTCGCCTTCGACGGCGATACGCAATCTCCTAGCATTGATGCATTCTATACCGAGCCGTTGGCATCTTGAGCAGCCGGCAAGACCGCGCTCCCATGCATCACATTTTACTTTGAGCTTCCGACACGCGACACACGCGCGACCTTTCCGTGATGGCTGCTGTTGCTCGTTGACAGGTGAAGTCGCGCCCGGACTTAGCTTTTGCCTTTTTTGAGGCGAATCTTCACCTGCGTTAGTGGTAGAAGCTCGCTTTATATGTCCTCTTGGTCGCTCGATGTGAAGAGGTGAAATTGGGGTGTCCTCATTGGAAGCTTGTTCATGTTTCTCCATCACGTGCAATGACTCTGTCGCTCGTGCATCGGCTTCGACGCCGTGTCTGTCGAGGCTCGAGCGGGATGCAGAGGGAAGCAACGGCGTTCTGAATATGCCGACTGAAGACTTGAAGCTGAAAAGGCTACAGATGCCACATGATTGTTTGAAACCGAACCGTCTCGAGGTTCTTGTTGGATTACGAGGGAAGAGCTGGAGTCGAGCAA